GATGTTGTATCATTTGAATCATTTGAATTATTGAGTTAGGTATGAACCTTAGTGAAGAAAATGAAGTGCATGAGATTGACATAATGTTCTACAGCTGTATGTGTTGTCTTGGACATTCAATAAGGAATGTTGAATCATTTGAATTATTGAGTTAAGTATGAACCTCAGTGAAGAAAATGAAGTGCATGAGATTGGCATAATGTTCTACAGCTGTATGTGTTGTCTTGGACATGCAATAAGGGATGTTGAATCATTCGAATTATTGAGTTAATTATGAACCTCAGTGAAGAAAATGAAGTGCATGAGATTGGCATAATGTTCTACAGCTGTAAAATTGTGTTGTCTTGGACATTCAATAAGGAATGTTGAATCATTTGAATTATTGAGTTACACGTAAGTATGAACCTCAGTGAAGAAAATGAAGTGCATGAGATTGACTTAATGTTCTACAGCTGTATGTGTTGTCATGGACATGCAATAAGGGATGTTGAATCATTTGAATTATTGAGTTAAGTATGAACCTCAGTGAAGAAAATGAAGTGCATGAGATTGACATAATGTTCTACAGCTGTATGTGTTGTCTTGGACATGCAATAAGGGATGTTGAATCTTTTGAAATGTTTAAATAAAAATATTGGATATTCCAGGGCATTGCACTAAAAAAATATATGGCTGTTAGTTTCAACCCCATTATATGAGTTTCTGATTAAGGTCAGCTCACATTAAAAAAGTCTGGCATTTGACCAAGGATTTCTTTAAATGGTTATGTTTTCATCTGCAGGTAAACGTGTCAGCAAATAAAAGATCTGAAGAGAGTGAGAAGCTGCTGGTTGTATTTAAGACTGAAGGAGTCACAAAAATAAGAGAACAATTAGGAAAATATATTAACCAACTCAAAAATGGTATGAAAGACACATTGTACTACTGCGGCAGAAGGCTTCCTGTTATGTATTTAAAAAACCTACTCCCATTCTGAATCTCCCATGCTATCCCACCCCTAGGTAATGTTTATCTAACAATTTTTATTCTGCTGGTGTGGTTGACTGCCTTGTTGGTTGAATTGAAGGAAAAAAAATTGTTTTGGTCTCTAAGATGAACCAACATGGTGGCTAGGTCTTTTGTTATTGTTTTCTCTGGGAAAATGATTGTATGGATGAGTTCTTAAACATTTAGAAAAAAATAGAAGAAAACTTTAAAATGTTTGAATTCTAAGAATAAAAATGTGTTTTATGCACTCTCTTTTTTTTTTTTTTTTGAAAACAGATTTCATACAGGGAATGATTCTACCTTCAAAAGATAAACAAATGCAGAATGCCAAGTCTGAAAAAGATACTAAAGAGGTAAAGAAAATTATTTTAATAAGGTCTGGGCCCCAAGGGGGAGGGGGCAGGAGCAACTGGTCCTACCCCTTCCTCCCCCCACCCCCCACATTGCACCAGAAACTGATTTTAGGTGTCTGTAACTGGGCTTTGCACTGTATGGTACCATTTACAACAGAGTAGTATGCGTATCAATAGATTCCAGTAAAATATGAATTTTTTTGTTCTGGTTTCCAGGCATTTAAGAACATCACAATTTCGTCAACAAAAAAAGAAAGCAAAGACAATGGTAGGTTCCTCTCTTCACTCTTTCACTTCATTCATATTCATTTCCTACCAAAAACAAAAATAGCAATAGGAAGTGGTATGATCAAGACAGCACTTGAAACTGGAATTTTTAAAGTACAGTGGGGTCCCGTTATCTCAAGTCTCCTGGAAATGAGGAAAATGGTTTGCAATAATTGGGTTTCACAATAGAACCCTTGCAGTATGTTGCAATGCAGCTCAATTTGGAGGACATAACAATAGGTTTCAAAATCTCAGGAGATTAAATTTCTTTGGTTTTTATCCTCCAAATTAAGCAGCTTTGACATCACATACAAGGGGTCTACATCCAGGTAAACATTGTAGTGATGCATTGAAGTTGTTTAGATGCAGAGTCAAGGTATAACAGGAAGTCACAATATCTGGGGTTCACTCAAAACTGTGTTTATTTCAAAATTATTTTTGTTTGCATATTTCTTTTGCATATAGGTACCAAACCTCTTGGTGTGCCCATTTCAACAAGAAAGATAGTGATGAAAGAAGAATTCCTTATGTCAGCTGAGGACCTCTATAACACACTCACTGAAGAACAAGTAAGTAGTATCAAATGAATTAGGTTGGCTCTCACAGGCATGGCATCCCTGTACCTACTCTTAAAGCAGTTTTCATATAAGTGGGAAACATAGGATACTGACTTACAGCACGTACATGTTACCACATTCATAACATTGAAATGGCTTCCTATTGTCTTCCAATTATGTGTCCAATCACAACGTGTAATAATACGTTTGCATGATGGCGTCATTTGACTCCCATTACCAAGATGCTTTGCGAATTTTCTTTCTTATTTAAATTTGTATTCCCTCATGAGAATAGTAAGACAATTGGTGCTAATTAACTGAACAAAAGAAAGTGTGCAAGGGAGTCTGGTAGTAGAGGTCAATGACACCATCGTGCAAACGTCCTATTACATGTATGGCTATGGTAAGATATGGCTACAAATTTGCCGTATCATTTTCCACTCATAGAACAACTGCCGGTGACGTGTCTCCTTATGTTACCCATAAGAATAGATTACTCAAGTGATGACGTCACAAAAATTATTTTTCGCTTGATCATATTTTTGGTTAACAAATTCGATAGACAATCAGAAAAGACGTTTACATATGTGTAAACGTCTTTTTTGATTGTCTATAGAAATTTGAGATCGAAAATAATTAAAATCAAAATTTATTTTTTCATGACATCACACTTGAGTACTCTACAAAAGGACAAATGTGGTCCCCATGTTGGTTGGCATGACAAAAGACTAAATCTTTTGTCAAAATCAACTAAAATGATGGGTACGACTTCAAATGCACCCTAAGAATTGTGAATGACTGTAATCCAAACTATACATTTTCATTGACATGTGGTTTGTATTTTCAGAGACTGTCAGCGTTCACCAGGTGTCCGGCCAAGGTGGATGCTACAAAAGGTGGTACCTTTGTTCTTCTGGATGGAAATGTGTCTGGCAAATTTGTTGATCTGGTAAGATTATGACTTCAGATTCTATTCCATTCCATTTGTGAATAAAATTTGTTGCATTATTAACCTAAAATTGTTTTTTGTCTTTAAGGTAAGAGATCAAAAAATTGTTATGAATTGGAGACTAAGAAGCTGGCCAGATGGTGAGTAGTGATATTCTTGTAATGTGTCATTTTTTGATTGGGCTCCCTGTGGTCATTCTCTGCATAAATGAAAATGGGTTACCTGTGGAGTTGTTTACTAATTTGTGTTAGATTTCCTGTTGCATTGTTGATAATAGCCCATTTTAGAGATGTTCTGACCAAGTGCATCAAAGCAAGAGTATTTGTGATGGAAACCATGCGAAGATCTGCTTGGTGGTAAGAAATATGAAAGCATTTTTGAGAAATTTTTTCTTTGATATTTTTTATAAAATGGCCAGTATAATATTGTTCATTTGCCAGTCAAAACTTCTCAAGGATGCTTTTATATTTTGTGCTGCCAAGCATTAGTCACACATAGCCTCTATATGATGCACTTGGTCAGAAGCTCTCAAAATGTGCTATTAAAGCATGGTTTACTGAGATTTCAGTTTTGTTATAACTTGCATTATATTTCATTTTCAGAGCATTACTCCTCAGTAACCATCACCTTAACAGAAAAGGGCGACAGGACAGAATTGGCACTCACTCAGACAGGGGTCCCAGAGGCAAAATATGATGAAACGTTAGCAGGATGGAGGCAGTATTATTGGGAAGCCATCAAGAGAACCTTCTCTTGTGGGTTCAGGTACTTCTGACAGCTTTTCCACGTCATACTCTGGACCTATCTTCATAGAGTTATGGCGTGTTGAATTTTTATTTGGAGTAATTCATAATTATATCCCATGGAAATGTATGGTAATGTAATATGTTTGCAAATTTCTCTCTCTCTYTTTCTCTCTCTGCGAAAGTGTCCCTTAGCCTCCACATTAGGACTAGAGGTAGAGGTAACTGGTATCATTTCTTCCTTTGTCACTTCCTAGGAATTGCCACAACAAGACATTTGGTCTTTAAGTTATCATGATTTGACTCATACTAGCAGGACTGATCTTTATCTCAATTTTTCTAAAATTCTTATTTAATGTATTTATGAATATTCACTCGCTGATCCTCAACTTTAACCAGTGCTTAATTTGTCATATTCATTTATACTTGTGTTGATACAATTCCATTGCTTGATTTTTACCATTTTTGTGATGTTTGAGCAAATTTTGAGTATTTCTTTACTTGTAAGAAAAACATCACCAATCAACTTGCTTTGTGATTTTGTGTAGTTTAACTGTTAATGTGGTTGTGAAATCCTGTTGAGATTTCGATTGGGATTTTCTGTTTTTACAGTGTAAAACCGTAGATAATTTTTAATAATCCAATTATGTAAACTGAACATTATATTATGCTGCGCAAAATATTCAATAAACTATTAGTCAATATTACTGGAATGTGTTCTTTTTAAAATATGTGTGTACTTTTTTTTTAATTTTGTCTTTTTTTTAAAATTAATTTAAATAAATCAACAACTAAATAATGACCATACATCCTTGCAATTAATTTATTAAATAATTTATGATGAAAAAGAGAGGAAAAAAGAGGAAACTAATTGAGCTTCAGTTTAAATGTTTACTTTGTCTGTGTGTGTACCTTAGAAATTATTTGGAAAAAGTTTCAGTACATGTAGGTTTTAGCTTAGTCTTCTGATACCTTTTTATTAGTCGAGGGCCATCACTTGTTCATTATACTGTCATGTGCTACCCTCGTTAAATAAAGATACTTACTTACTCACATACTTACTTACCTACCTCTTTATAAATTATTTTTTGTGGTACATTAAAGTACATTAAACTTGAGGCCACACAACAAGAGCTGGATCATCCAACTGTGTTCTTAACAAGATGCTTAATAATCACAATGCCTCTCTTCACTCCAGGTATAACTGGGGTGTGGGGTGATCTGTGATGGTCTTTTTCATTATTCATACTAAAGAACCAACAAGTTACTATTTTATTATGACGTCAGAGTCATGATTCTTAGCATACGTGATGTCATAATGAAATGAATGGGTGAATAGGCATGAAATAATAATTGTAATTTTGATCCATAGCAGTTTATTGAATATTTACAACATAAAAAAAATCTTATTTGATATTTACAATAATTTTGATTAAATTCTTTCATGATGTAGAAAATCCAGGAGGTTTATTCACACCATGTTGCGTGACTGCAAAGAATTTAAACTTTTCTCCCATATCTTCAAGTAACATTTTATAGCCACTCTGGAGCTGTTCACCCTGGGATTCAGAAGCATTGGCCATCAAGACCTGAAACAATTGACAATTAATACCTTGGAACTTTTGCAGTAATAGGTCCATTACACTTAACCTGAGTATCAAGAGAGTCTGATCAATACCCAGGTTACAACCCAATAGGACATACATTGTAATTCCTTTGTGGACCTGTTCTTGAGCAGAACAAATGGTAATGTACTGCTTCTAACTGTCACAGTCATAGTTTTGCCATCACATGTTAATAGAGTTTCTTGTTGGCTCTCTCAAGTTTCTTTTTCCAGGTTTTCCAGTTTAATTTCCTCCCACAAAAACCAACTTTTAAGTTCCTAACCAATTTATCAAGTGCCACAGGTTTCTTTGCCACAGGCTAGAAAATATTGCTGTAACTTGTCAAACAAGGAAAAAAATTATACAACAAAGAAATAATTATTAATACTTATTCCTTACTTTCATCCTCTCATCAATTCCCATTTCTTTCAAGAATGATGTTTGTGTAACAGGACCAAACGATTTTGCTTTCTCTCCTAATGATTGCTTGAGGTATGCAAAGTTGACATTTGCGGTCATGTCTGCCGTCCCTGGAGCATCCAGAACATCATGCAACTTGTGCTTACTAAAAGCCTGTTGATATGATGAAACAAAATTTAAGGTTTTTTCCAAGAAGGCCACTAATGCTGGTACACAACTATGGTATGGGCCAAGCAATACCAATCAATAGTTCTAGCAACAATTAATACATGTGGGTTTGGTGGATATATATTCAGCTTTCTAATGAAAAGTTGATTTTTTTGGAGAATGGTCTGGGTATGAGAATTAATCCACTTTACACACCCATTCATCTTGCAAGGCTGAAAGCAGTTCATTCAAAATAAAGGTGCATAGTGCAAATTCAGGTCAAAACAAAAAGGTCAATTTCTATACTTTTCTTCTACGTGCTTTTTATTGTAAACTAATGACTGGGTGACCTCGTTTTTGTGCACTTGTCAGCCATCATGAGAATGGTGTATTACATCAAGATGTTGTACATGCTATTGATAACAGGGGCGGCGGAAGCTGAAAAATTTTGGGGGGGCACTCCAATATTTCACGGTACCTTGAAATGACCCCCCCCCTCCCTGTTTAGCTTGATTACAAACGTGTATGTGTGATATTTCAATCAGTAACATTTTGCGCGCATTAAACCACTTGCAATTGTGCTGAGAGACACAAAAATGATGCAAGTCGTCGCTAGATATATCGTATATTTTTTAGATACAGAAAATTATGTAATATCAAAATAATAAATAATGGTAATCATAACCAAATCTCATGCGTTTTTTTTTTGTGTGAGGCATTATATTCTGGGGGGGCCAGGCCCCCCCAAAAAATCTATTGGGGGGGCCAGTGCCCCCCCGGCCCCCCCGCTTCCGCCGCCCCTGGATAATGATCATAACTCTGTTCCTTCAGATGAAGCATCACTACCCAACAGTCATACAAAGTCTATTCTAATGACATGATTATGGCAGACCCTGTCAATCTGCCCAGTTACAAACCATACCCTAAGGCTGAATCTGTTACTTCCCATTTCTCCATAATCAACAATCAGTGCACATCCACCATGTCGATTGATAATGCTCCCCACATGCTCCATTATTGCCCCTCCCTTAGGACACACTTCCATTTCTTGGGATGATGTTTCCTTAGCAACAAGGCTCTCTGATGCTATCGTTGGACCAGGGGCTAATACAAATCTCAAGGAGGATGGACTAGAAAAAAGTATGGATAAAGAAAGGTGAAAAATGATGTATCTATCAACCCAGACAATATACATAATGGAGATGGATGTTGAGCCAGTCATCAGTTCTTATCCAGTTGAATGCACCACACCCTATAGAAAATGCGCTCAACCCTTTTCTAAGAATTTAGAGGAAGGATATAGGGTGCAGGGTATTCCTAAGATGTTTTCACGAATGAGAATTATGAACATTAAATGCTGCTTGGAAATATATTACCTTTGTTGGTCTATATCAACTAAGACTTCTCTCCATCCTTTGTTTGTTTTCTGTTCAAATTCATAGAGAATTATTGTCAGTGTTTCAAAAAAAACGGTTTTTAACATTAAATATTAATTATGTTTCTAAGACTTCTTTTATGCTTCGTAACAATATCAACATGACTTGGAACTAACCTTAAACTGATGAATGGGTAGAGCATCAAAGAACTCATGGGCTAAGAAAAAGGTATTACCTGACAATAGATAACAATCCTATCAGTCAATTTCGTACCCAGAGCCCTTGGTCAGCACCAAACACGTTTCTCAGTACTGACCAAGAGGAATGTGGACTCTGGGTGCGAGATTGCCTATCAGTATGTTCCAATATAAAATATGAATACCAAACACTGAATGAGATTATCTAGAGGTAAACAAGGCTCCAATAGAATAATAATAATAATAATAATAATAATAATAATAATAATAATAATTAACTTTGTTTATAGAGGATAACACTTGACAGTAATTCAACTGAAAAACTTGTGGTCCTCTGTTAACGTCTCTAGTTAATTAGGGATGGGACCGCCATTAACATGATCATCCAAGCCACATGAAGGCCTAACCATTTGCAGATGTAATTACAAAGGCAGCACCTTCTCCTGGTCCAGCCAAGGCTTGAACCACGACCTCCCGCAAAACAGACCGACACTCTTACCAACTGAGCTAGCCGGGTGGCGGTAAAAAATGTGCATAACAAAAAAATTCAAGTGACATATCAAAGATTTTTTGACCAATCAGAGGACATGTGCTTTATAACATTAACCACAGCTAGCCCACCTGGAGAAACATCCTGGACAGCTTGGTACCAAGACACAGGAATTCCAGATGGTGTTTTACCTTGTCTGTAACTAAGTGGGTAATCCTAAGAATAAATGGTAACAAATAAAACTGTAACAAACATTAATTCTTAGTAGTTCCACAGATAGCACATGCCCTGAATAAGACAGCTAATTATATACCGAATCAAGATATGGCGACTAATTTAAATAACTATTGTTCTGCACCGACTAGTGACTGACTAGCCTCATGCTCATGAGCTACTTAGTGTAGAATGATAGTCATTCCAATTGGGTGCTATATTTCAATTCAGTGTATAATTTGGGTGATTTGAAGTTTTCTGATTTTTGACAATCTTAATAATTGGGCTACCTGTGACTTTACCCACAATGCATGACAAGCCTTGGAAAGAAAGAAATGCAAACATTTTTGCCTCACAATTATAAGGATAACACAGATGCAGGGCTGTCAACTCTCCCGGATAAACTGGGAGTCTCCAGATTTTGGACCGTGTCTCCCGGTCTCCAGATTAGAGTATCAAATCTCCCGGATAATCCCCAAAGCTGACCATTTCTTGTCTTGTGAGACTAGAATTTCGCAAGTATAAATTTCCAATTATTTTGTGTTTGTGTTATTTTACATCGCTAACAAAATCAAAACGTTCCTCATAAACTGTTCTTGCAAGCAGGCCATTGTAATATAAGCGATAATCTGATTGGTCATCACATCAAATGTTACAAAGCRAAAGACGTCTTTTCGCGCGATTTTTGACGCTTTGTGACGTCATGTCCCTTCTCTATCAATTCTCCAGATTTGAATATCTCGGGGATTGACAGCCCTGCAGAGGTATGAAGTTTTTTGGAAAGAATAGGATAATATGTTTCATTATTTTGTGCAATTTCACCTTGTCAAAGTCACTGACTTTAGATTCCACTCCTGTCAATAACCTTGCTTGAATGTCACTCAAAGCTGGGCTAACTTCTACCAAATGGAGTGAAAGTTTTTCTTCTAAGTCCTTGAACTTTCCTATCACCTTGAAAAAAAGCATTGAAGTTTTAATTCAAGTTCAAAAAGAATAGATTTTTCTTATGGATTTTCGTTATGGATATGACCTTGGCATGAGATAGTTAGGTTATTGAGGGCTACCTATTTTCGTAAGTACTGGAAAATAAAATAAAAAATATATAAACCAAGTGTTTTTACAACAACAAAACTTGCAAAACTTTTCATTAGGGTTAATTCAATGTGACAAGGGGGGCATGAAGATGCTTAAGGGGGGGCCTATATTTTCTGAAATATATAAAGGGGGGACTGTTCATTTTTGTGATGGTAAGTAAAGGGAAGCCTGGTAAATTTTTTCACCACACATTGAGGGGGATGGGTGTGGGGAGTCAAAAATCAACAGGTTTTTAGATCGTTGGCATTAAAAATTTCATATCTTAAAATTCATCATCTTCATGCCCCACCTCGTCATATTAAATGAACCTTCCCTTTACCTCAAGAAAAAAAGAAATTGTATATAGCTCACTAGTCACTCTGGGCCCATCTACAAGGCATACGTAGTTGGCAGATGGACGAGGAATTACATTGGAGATGGCTGCAGAAATTCAACTTTTTAAACCAAGATCACATGAAGACAACTTTACATGGTATACACTCAATTGAAGAATCATTGTTGGGTTCAGAAACATAGAACATACATACGGTGCACAGGTGCCGACAATGGCGGCCACGGTTTATGTAAGTCTGTACTTTTAGACATTTTAACTTCATTTTATTGGACTGTTTTTAGCAATGGGTGGTTCAAATGTTTATAATTCATAAGTCAGCTCTTGGCTGGAAGTTATAGATGTTATAAACGTCGGTATATTTCACAGCATCAGGATGTCAGAAGCATGTTAGAAAATGTAGATAAGAAAATTGCAGCCAAGGTTAAGAAAGCTGATAAAGATCCTTTAAAGATATTGATGCTTATTGCCAAAATTAGTTCATATGATTTAAGAAGGTCAAGTGCCACTATGCCTGCAGTTAACACTGAACGTTTTAAGAAAAGTTTTTCTAATCAGATTTTAATATTAGCATTTTTAGTCCTTTTATGTTTTAGTTTCTTAGCGCACCACTTGATTGTATTTTATCAATGTGAATAAAGACTGATTATTATTATTATTATTATTATTATTATTATTATTATTAACATAGAAGCTGAGACCGAAATGGCACATGGGAAGTACGTTAATTATTAGATGCATGCTGTGACCAGTGACCCGTAGCATCATCTACTGTTTTTAATACGCGTTTGGCATTCTAAACCAACTGCATGGATGGTGCAAATGAATAAATTATAATTATTATAATTATTATGTCATTTTCTATGTGCCATTTCGGTTTCAGGTTTTATGTTATCTATGTTTCTGAACCTGACAACGATTCTTCAATTGATTCTTCAAATATGTAACATACTCTTAGTATATCTGCTGATAAGGTTCCTCTGCCAGGTCCAAGTTCTACTAACTGTACTTCCGGTTTTCCAGTCTGAAGCCAATGGTACACAAACCAGACGCCAACAAGCTACGTACAGGAGATGAAAATAGACCCTTTTAGCTAAGAATTAATGTTTAAAAAACAATATTCTTTGCTTAAGTTGTATCATATTCATGTGTCTTCTTACATGCAAATCTTAAGCAAAGAAAATGCCACATGGTCTGAATAGGAAAATATCACGCCTAAACTAAAAGGGTTTGTGACAGGAATTTAAAAAATTCTTTTGAGTATCAGGTATTGACAGATGATCATGAAAGCGAATATTTTAGTTCACCTTGGTATGATCAGACACGCAGCTCATTACACATTCATAGGATTATATTTTTCAGGGTCAAGGTTGCTTTAGGCTTGGTGAATACAAAGTATTAGATGTGAATATGCTGATACCACACACACTTACAAGGTTACATCTGGTTAATAGCCAACTATAACATAAAATAAAAAACATAGTACTCTAAATTGCACTAATCCTGATTAGGAGCAAGGTCTTTTCAAAAGTCAAATTAGATGTTATCTGGTTACCTGGGCAAATGAGTCCGAGGTCGTCAAAAACAATGGCATGCATCAAAGGTGAAACTGGCATATTTAGGTTTGATATTCATTTTTATAATACACTCAATAAAATAACTCGATATTCTGATTGGACAAGAGGAGTACAACTAAATCGCAATTTGTACTCTGTATAGTCCCAATTAAGTTGCTCAATTTTGTTGAGTGTATTATAAACAAAAAATTGAACAATCTTCTCATACAATTCAGAATTTATAGATACTTGTGATGTTTTGAAAGTTCTCAAATTGGACTCATCTAAAAGGCTCATCCAATGTTGAAACTTTCAAAACATCACTCGTACCTTTAAATTTCGAATTGTACTCAAGATTGCTCGTATTCCTATACAAACTTACTTCACCAAATACTTGGCTTATTTCAGGTGAAGTAATAAAGTCCCCCGAAGCACCAAACACATCTTTCTTCATGTAGTAGCCCTGTTAAAAATAATATAATATTACATACTAATATAATATAGATTGAACATTAAACCCGTGAAATAGATATCAGACTCTAATACACTTTAGTAGACCCTAATTCCATTGTTTTCTTTTGTGTCCATTTGACTATTACACGTTGACTAGTATTTTTTATTTCACGGGTTAAATGCCTTCACTCTACCAATAATGTTATATACAGCAGTTTTCATAAACCTGTGAAATACACTTTAGCTTATTTAGTACTATTACACTCTAATTCTTTTGTTTTCGATTGTGTTTTTCCAACTAACACACTCTAATTAGTACACTTTGTTTCATGGGTTAATGAAAAACACCCTAATGATGTGTAAAGCAGTTTGTGTGTTACTAACTAAAACTCTTGAAAATATTAATTCTTACAGCAGAAGGATTTGTAAGAACTTCCTGCATGAATGCTGCCACAGTCAAAGGACCAGTCACCTTCAATAAATTGTAAGTAAAAAAAAGAATAAGTAAAGAACTGGAAAAATAAGTATATTTAGTACAAGTATATAATGGCTGTACCCCCATTGCACCTCACCCTACCACACCCATGACCCCATTCATGTGAAATTCCTAGATCCATGAGTAACAATTAAATTTTCTAAAATAGCTAAAATCTCAGTGTAAAAAGCTAGCGTTTCTGTGATTGAAAAAAATGAAACTAAAAAAATAGATTATGAAGAATAAATTAAATTACAAAATATGCACAATAGGATGGGTGGGAGAGGAAAGGGAGAGTTGAAATGTGGTACTTATGAGTACACAATAGTATAGTTTTACCTTTATTCTATTAATTAAGTCATTCAAAAGATTACGCTTTTCTGAATGCAAAGATGAACTTGATTTCCTTCTCCAAACACTGCGCGCGACAAGTCGAACTAAAATCAAACAAAAATCTCTTTTCTCAGTCGTTGAAAATTAAACGTTGACTATTTCTCATAAAACCCAGGTATTCCTTCTTACCTATGCTTTTATTTTCTGCGCCAAAAAGGCTACAAACAGCTTGTGATCTACTAAAAACTTTGGAAAATGATGAAGAACATTTCCACATCACTTCGACCGCCATGTTGGACGAGCAGCATTATGGAAGCCTGAGAACTAGAAACCACAGGTAACCCAGCTTTTTTGCTTTTCTTTCCCGCGATTTCGAGTGCGCTTCTCTCGTCGTTTCTCGTCGTTTTATTTAAAAATAGTTATAATTTTTTATTAGGGTTATTGTCTGGGTTGCCGATACGAAGAGTCTGGGTATGGGTGGGGGCAATGGAGGGTACTCAGGTATGCTAGCCACGAATTTCGAACATTTTCTCAGGGAGGTTACAGAATTTGTATACATTGAACGTTTTGTACGATCGTCTAGACCCCTCCCTAAAACGTACCAAAATTTCTTGAATATAAAGCATTGATGTACCAAACTGAACGGAATAGCGTGGATCGAAGTTTGTTGTTCAAATTCGACTGTAAAACCGCCGCGCCAAATAAGGAAATGAAAAATAATGTTATGGATTAACAATAAGGAATTACTTGTTGTCAGTTATTTTTCGTCCGTCGAAATACGTGACTAAAAAATAGAGAGGTTAAGCAYCTCGTTTAATGCAAGCGTAAAGCCTTCATTTGACAAACAAATAATTTTTCAGAATTGATAAAAAAGAATCGGAAAAATCTTCAAGTAGTAGCGAAATAGCAAAAACTTGTCTTTGCATTGTGTGAAGGTTTGCAAATCTTGGGGTTTATGTGACGTCATAGTCGCCATTTTGATTGTCTTTGAATATTTCAGTGGTGTCTTAGTGATGTCAACCAACATGGGACCCACGTTTTTGTCCTTTTATTCTCATGGAAAAGAAGCACGCCACAAATTTCTGTCGTTTGCGGGAAGGAAGAGCGTGATGCTTAATATGTCTCTTGAGTCTTTATAGACGAAAGGCAACCGCAGAATTTTTAGAGTGTTTTATAATGAAGGTGGTACCGGTAAGATACGTGACAACTGAAGAAAGGTCCAGAATTCGACTTCACAACAAACTTGTCTCTGAATGATGTATGCCGGTGTGTTTATGTCTAGGGTTGTATTAGTATATGTAATAGGACTCCATGCTGTCCAATTAAGAAATAATTGGACAAGGAAAATTCCGAGGACTGACAAAATTGGATGAGGCCGTAGGCCGAGTCTAATTATTTCTTGATTGGGGAGAATGAAATCCCATTACCTATTAATTATATAGCTGCCTAATTAATCCCATATCAGCAAGACCTGTCCAATTAAGAAAATAATTGGACAGTTACCTATATGGGATTAATGAGAAGCTGTATAATTAATAGTAAAATAGGGCGTTTTTATGATTGGTTTCGTCAATCATCATAAAGCTTACCCCGTTAGCCTTAACTTTGACTAATCCAGAAACTACTGAGGGAGAGGGATGTGAGATCCATCCCTTTGGACCCAGGGAACCAGTCCTAATAATAATAATAATAATAATAATAATATCTTATTTATATAGCGCCCTTTCCTAAAATGTCCAAAAGCGCTTTACAAAAAAAAATTTGATAATAATAATTAACAATAACAATATCTGTAATATCAAAATCAAAAAACTATGTAATCTAAAAGTCAATAAGATTTAACGAATGATCAATGAAAAGCTTTGCGAAATAAATATGTTTTGAGATAACTCTTGAAAATATTTAAAGATGTACTACATTTAATTTGCAGTGGCAAGGCATTCCAAAGCATTGGAGCAGAAATAGAAAAAGCGCGGTATCCATAAGACTTTAGATTWTAATTTGAAACCTTGARTAACCTCTTAGAACYAGATCTCAAACAGCGTTGAGGARCATAAGGCTCAAGTAAATCGCAGAGATACTTTGGCGCAATACCATGGATAACTTTATACGTAAAAAGAAGAATTTTAAATTCGATAYGCTGCTCAATCGGCAACCAATGCAGCTGTACTAAAATGGGTGTGATATGCTGAGATTTGCGTGATAAGGTAACCAGCCTGGCAKCAGTGTTTTGTWCATACTGCAGCCTCTGCAAAAGATGCTTCGGTAAACCAAAAAGTAAGGCATTACAATTATCTAACTTATTTATAATGAAAGCGTGAATTAATATCTTAGTGGTTTCAATACTTCAAAATTTCCTAATGCGTGAAATGTTTCTAATAAAATAAAAAGCAGATTTACAAATCTGAGTTATATGACTGTCCAGAGATAAGGTATTATCGTAAATAACGCCAATGTTTCTTGCACACTCTTAAGGAGTGACAGAGGAACTAGCCACTTGCACTGCATGTACTAGTGGAGTCCTCAGTTAAGAGCGGTTTTTCGTAAAGGGGAGTGAGAAGAGTGCGCATGCCCATACCATTGAAAGGACTTTCATTGTCTTTGCTTAAATATCTAATTATAACCTGTACTGTTGCTACGGTAACGGTAAAATACACGGGACGACTACCAGCATACGGTTAAGTGATTTTACGGTGTCGAGTCCCACTAGCTCATCTCTATTCCATTTGCCTCATCCCCCTCTCTCCTTACCCCACCCACCCCTCCCTCTGGGTTCTCTGGTTTCCTTCCCTCTGCAAAACCTAACAAGCTAAATTCCAGTTTAATTGATCTATGAGTTATAGCCGTGCCCTGACTCTGATCAACCCACAGGCTATTTCTATGTACCATAGTATCACAGGCCATCATTTAGTGACCCAGTCACCCAGTCTTATATATCAATCCATTAATATCTCTTTACTGGATTTGGTAATCTATCATTAACCTTAGGGTCTTACCTTTGAAACAGGGGTTTTTGTTGAAGGCACGTACGTACGGTTCTGTTGCGGGTGGTCTCAGTGGATTATTTTATTGATATTTTATATAAGAGTTAACTTGGGGATGACATGAACTCATAACTTGACCTTTTATCACTTGGAGTAACTAAAAAAAATAATTGGGGAAACCGATCGATTGATAACAGTAATGGAAATGATAGGACGAACGGCATGCTGTGAAGAGGGAAGATGGATCGAGATTTCAGTAGAGCTCAATTATTTAGCGATGGGAAAATACGTAGAAAAATGATGAAAGTGAGATAGAAGTGGAACTGTCGATAAAGGTAGTTAAGGTGTTGAATGCTCATGAAAAAAACAACGAAGGAAACGAAAGAAGAAAAAATAAACGAACGAACAAAACTGAAGCAACTGTCCAAAACAAAACAAACAAACGAACAAACAAATATGCGTAACAACAACAAAAAGTCCCAAACAAATCAAACAATGACTATAAAGCAATCAAGCACTGAAAGAACCATCCAACCACTTTAGTTAATATTCCTGAATAGTCTTGACTTTGATAGCAAAGACTAACCGAAAAATGAGAAGTCAATTTAGCTGGAAAATATGTACTTCAATTTAAATTTAAATTAACTGAAGGCATCAGCTATCAAGAGTTGCGTGGGTAGTGCATGATGACCACTGATTCAGTTATTGAGCATAATACAAAAAGAACTTAATTGGTTAATTAGCTGAAAACTGCTGCTTGTAAAATGGGAAATACAGGGAGTTGTTAGTTTGCTTGACCTCGACTAGCTTCCTTCGCAGCCGTCCTTAGGGTCGTCACGGAGGGAAACGTTGCGTGACGACCCTAAGAACGGCTGCGAAGGAGGCTAGACCTCGACTGACAAGACTAATTTATTTCTGGTCTCATATTTATATACTTTCAAGGATGCAATTAACAAAACTTCGAGTGAAAATGGGCTAAAGATGCTTCACAAATATCCTTAACGAGATCACCATAAAAGACAAAATGATTTCCTTGTTGCACTATTCAATTTTGAAATCTCAACATTGTATATCAAATCTAAATTAAATGACATAAAATCCTATAGCTGAGAATAAATCTAAGCCTTGCCTATATTTAGATAGCCAAAAAAGGCATTTACTACACCGGAGTCTCTCGGAATTATGCGTGAAAACTTAATTCAGTATGTCATTTCCTGGAAGAATAATTTGCTCTAGTTAAAGGCATGAGGAAGACCATTGCTTTGCTTATAAAGGTATCCGGGCTTTGGCTTCTGAAAAATCCTAAAAATTGCATAATGGAATAATTTTTTACATGACTGTAATTCGTCCTGTTGGGAAAGTACGTTGTGTGTTGAAGAATTTTATTCCAAAGGTTTGAATATTACTCAATAATACTGAATATTTTTGGTTGAAATAAAGAGCCAGTCAAGTCAGAACATGTGCTATTTCCTTAACATTATTCTTAACTTAGTTACATTCATACAAAGAATCTTATTTTCGAGACTTTTGGCCGGCGCCTTGCGAGAAAACGTTACACCCAAAAAATTCCATTTTTGACACTTTTGACGATTTTTGAAGAAGTTGGAATTAAGGATGTTGTGACATATATTTTTAGCTCAGTTTCTATGAATATGATTCATTTTAAATCTAATTTTAAATCTAGTTATAAGATTTGACGAATTTTCGTAGGCGTTGAGGTAGAGTAATAATATATGAGGTAACACCAAAATATTCCACTAATTTATTCTTTCACTGCTGACGTAAACTGTGTCACTTCAGATCACTGAGGAAAAAACACATTCTCTAATAATTCCAAAAAGACAGAAACTGATTTCTAGTTCATATTACTAATATTTGGAGTTATTAGGTATCCGGTCTGCTTTTTAGAGTCATTTAATATTTCATTGTGCTATTGTACAGTATAGTGCTACTAGACTGTGGGTGGCTGTCGCTCGCACGTAAGTAAGCCAATTGAGTGAATACTTTCTGATGAATGTCTAGAGAAAGGATTATAACCATTAACAAGTAAATTTGTAGTAAGAGTTTCAACAGCCTGGCATTCTGTGGTTTTTGACATGTTTTTGTTTTATTCTAAGCGCTAGAAGTCTAAAAATAACAACTAAACAAATGTCAATCATTTTGTGGAAAACCCGGATAATGCTGAATGAAAGCAAGGAAGGTTTGTTTGTAATTATCAGAAGTAAAAGTTTCGGATGTCCTGTTCTTATCAGTTAACTAATTTTTTAGTGGGATGCTTTTCGGTGTAATTAATTAAGACTACATAGAATAATAATCAAATGAAAACGATGTGTTTGTTAGGTGTTGTCGTTGCAAAACTAACAAGATCATCCTTAAAATCGAATATTTTTTGTTTGACTCATTTTTATCGAGTTTATTTTTTGAATTTCCCCCTCCACGCTTCCATCTTGTTATCGTTTCTATAAAAAAAAAAAAAATTACGTAAATTTTAAATGGATCCCGAGCATCGCGCAAAGTGAAAGCGCTTTGCTGTTTCCCGCTTTTTAATTCCTGTTTTCTTTTGTTTTGTTCTACAACTTTTTCTGATATTTCTTATCGCTTTCAGTCGAGATGCAAGATTATCTACATTTATGATATTTTTTTCTCGTACTAGTTCGTTTGCAGCAAAAAGTCGCGTACAATTATGAGGTGGTTAGTAAGATATGTAGGCATTGAGGGTGGTCACTAGCTTTTACGTCTTCGATATTGGTTTCTAGTTATGCATGATGAACTAATACGTAAGAAAATTACGAGGCAAACTGCGAGGGTTTGACCTCTGTACGGCCGGTAACAGCATTATAAAGCTAATATCCAAAAATTTCTATATCAGCAACATTAGAAACTACTACTGCCATTTTTAGTATCATTACAAGCGAGTTTACGAAAATCCGTATCATTTTGATTCCACCCCGTCTCAGTTCTACGCACTGAGCTTTACGTTTCATAGCCCTTTAAGAATTAGAATTTATTGCAAATCCTTATCAAAATAATAGATTAATCCAATACAGGAAGAAAGGAACGAGCAAAGACCATTGAATATTTATTTATTGCTATCATTATTATTATTTTACAGAGTAATAAAATATAGAAGATATTTTACCACACGGAAGAATGTTGCCCGTAAAGATAGTCGGCGCTTTCGCCGGGTAAACATCGACGAAAGGTGGGAAATTGCCGTCACTTCCGGTCCATTTCCCGCCACGTTGATGATCACATGTGATTGGCTATCAAGACCCGACGTCAATAATGATGTCATTTTTTAACTTCCTTCTTGATAAAAAGAAACCCCTTGATGTTACAGTAGTAAGATTAAAATATTTTTTCTATTGCGCTTTTGATGATATTGAACTCGATGCTATCACTCTAAATCATGAATAGCTTATTTCATTCTAAATCGGGCGCTTTTTAATCGTTCCTCGATGATTAAAGTCAATTCTAAATCAACGACTTTTGAGCACTTTCTCGATTGACTCTTAAAAATGTCAAAGTTAAAGATAATGCGCTTTAAACTCGGTATAGTCCCTGCTGTATGCCGTCACGTTATGTAGAGTGACAGAAGCTGAAACTTAAGCGCATCCCAATCGGAATGTGATTTCCGGGTCGCACAAGTGCACAGTCTACACCTGATCTCAGTACATAAGAAGCTGTTCTTTTCTGCCTATGTGCGGTATGAGCGAATAACTATCGATGTATCCCCCGGGCCGTCAATGCGTAACAAATTACATATACTTTCCGATTGTGGCGGAAATTTTGGAGCACAAATCCTAGGTGTTGGCTAGAACACTCAACAAACTTCCTGCGGTAGAATCTGAAGCAATGCCGTTGGTCGGCATGTTTATAAAGACTTGTAAGTTCACACAGACTGTTCAGTTACAGTCAGACCACGACAAATCGACTATCGACGCAGCTGATATTTGCTTAGCGAAAACGACGCGGAACCTCAAGAGAATTACAAGGAAAATGTCTGGAAGTCCGTGGATTTGTTCTTTAATTTTGATATTTTACTTTATTTTGAGGTAAGATTTGATTTTTCTGTGGATTTGCCTGTGTAATAGAAGCAGAATATGCAGCTCGTGTCCCGTGTCTCTCGTGTGTTTCCAAATCTTCCCATCAAAGTTCACATTGACCCGGTCAAAAATTTCTCACTGACTATTAATAACTTCTTGGAAAGTAAAGTCATGTACATTATTTTTATGTACAAATTCTGAAATATTTGATGTACATTTTGTAGTTGATCTACATGATGTAATACACCACTACAAACATTTGCTGCCACTTCAAAAATTTCTGCTTAATCAGCCTTTCATTTAAGTTATCTTTAATCACCTCCAGGTCCTCAGCAGTTCCTATTCAAGATAAACAATTAAATTCACTTCTGGTAAGTAAATTTATAAATAATTTCATGTTTAAAGCGCATGTTTATTACTAATTTATATAGTTTTAGTATTCCTCGCGCGCTTCAGTAATGCATTCTCAGTACGCATTAAGTTTCAAACATTCTTATTGATAAATGAAAGTTCTATCACCGGCCGGCGACCTCATCACTCAGGGTCGCTGTATTAATTTAGATCTTGTACTATGAGGTAACGCGCGCAGAACTTTACTCGCCTTCTGGAACGTCGAAAGAAGATGTTATTTTTCAAAAGTTTTGGTTAAGAAGCTAAGTTTTCTCTTCAATACATTTCAGCAAGATTTTGCTTCTGATGGAGTGAGATATACAAGAACTGTACGAATATATTCTAGGAGTTATCGAATGCATTTGAGAGTAGTTGGATCGAATATTGACGCAAAGGCATTAGATACCGACCCCAATGGTAAGTGAACTAATAGTCCTAACTGAAATTCAAAATGACACTATACATTGTTATCTATCAATATCTCAATATAGCCATTGAAGGATTTCTTGTTTTTAAAAAATCTTTGAATTTTCTTGTGGCGGGCTAAGGCTCTAGGCCTCAGTGAATACGGTCTCAAAGATACCTCACCGTAGATACGATAGGGTTTCACAAAAAGGCCGGCAGTGCCCTGATCAATTGGGCCGAAATAGCGCACTGTCACCTTCTGGCCCGAAACAGCAATGACTCGCTACGCTATACACAAACAGCACAGACCGCACACAATGACATCGTACAGAAATCGTTTATATTTGTTTCCTAAGACTGTATCCGGCCTAATCAACTTTAACATCGACTCTGAAATGTCGTAGACAAAGGAAGATCACGAGATTTACTTAATTCATTTAACACTTTAGCGTTTATTTTTTGATTATCGACCAATATTATTATTTTCACAAACAACTACTTGTTTATAGATGTCTATTATTGTTTATTTACATCTTTGGAACCATTCAAAATATCGTCAAAGTTGCAAATAGTCATTAAAGACGAGTCTTTGAAATTTCGTGCAGCCGGCTTGTTACGAATAAGGCGGTTGACTAGATAATTCGAATACCATCAGCTATGATGATTACAATATTTCATATCTACAATGACCTCCGACAATACCTGATTTCACATCTACAATAGCCTTACTCACTTATGTCCGCTTCTACTTTGAGTCAATAAAACAAAGATCTATTCTAGGAAAAAACGGAAAAGCTGTCAAAAACTTGTTAAAAATTACTTTGTAAACATTGTTCAAAGAAATAGAATTTAGTCTAGATCAAAAGACACCCCTTAGATCTATAAGGGTTTTTTTGGAACAAAGGGATTCTTAATGACAATATTGACAGATTGTTAAATTAAGGATGAACCACTTGACTGTTTTACCAGTAAAATTTCAAGAAAACCTCAAGTTTTAAAGCTAGACTCAAATTCAATTATCGCATCCCGTGCTAAACAATTAGAAAGAAATTGTTCATTGGCATTGCTATAATTAGTCTCCAAATCTCATTAGAAAATCTTATACTTGTACTAGTACTTCCATTTACCAAGGTATTGTGTGGGTTGGTCAAAAACGAATAAATTTACCTTGAACATCTAGAAAAAGAAGGAAACCTTGGAGGTTTTTTATTTCAAAAATGCAAGTTGTCATCACTATCGAACGCGATGATCTACGTAACTGAAAATATACTTAGCGATAGCCAAGAAGTTCACACGGTCTTTGGGACAGGAAATCGCCTTCAACGGGGTATTACGATTCTTCATTAATGCATTTGTGAATGCACAAAGTGCGAAGGCCACTCACAGCCCACTCATTAGGTCACATAAGATGGCCTTCGTTTTTTTTCTTTTCTTTTTTAATCGAAGACCAAGCATCCAACGCGGCATTTTCAGATAGACTTTCGCAAACTTTTTTTAAAATTGTTTCATTCAATTTTGTCCTTAGGTGTACTTCCTGACCATTTTCGCCGATAATAACCCATCCCATGTTCATTAAAAGCCCGTTATACTATCTGCAGATACTTATGTCGGATTTCAAGCTTATCAGCAACTCGATATACCCCACTAATTCCATCGATACCCTCTCATTTTCGGCCACTTTCAAAATGACCGCGTATCAGCGCGCTAATAATCGACATTTAACCCAACGGGGTAAAAAATATTAACTGGACTCGGTAAAGCCGTGAAGAGTTTGAGCCGCATAGTTCCCAAGGAAAAGCATCCCTTGTCGGCTCTCCACACATCTGTCAAAGGTCCTTAAACAATTTTAAAGCCACTTATGGAATAGATAGCAGATGGGAGCGTATATTCCCCACACGCCGAGTTCTCCCGGAGTCTTTATCTCTGGGAGCACTGACGAGTTTATCGACGATTGAAGAAACGACCATCTCTTATTACTAAATACTTCCCAGCAACTGACTTCCACGATAAACCTCAAAATTGATAATCATAGCACAAAATCTTGCGAGTCTTTTTCTGGACGAGAACTAGTCTTCCCCCCTCAAGGTTTTCGAGTGACAGTCACAATAAATGAGAAGGTTTCACGACAGACAAGGTGTTCTAACATGTTCTAAGTCAAGGAAGCAAGTCTTGTGGTTTCTTTTTTTAGCAGTCCCATGTCAAAGCCGGCATTAGGTAGCCAGACATGGCTTTCTTATCTCGACCAACAGCCTTCAATGGTGTTCTTCTCATCTAAAATCCAGTCTTGGGCAAGCTGAGATTTTTAGTATGGGTCCCCTGCAAAGAGAATTGAGACCCATGCATTAAAGCTTGTCAGTGATAGATGGACAATGAGCTCCATCTTACAGAAGGTATTTTGGGTGTAGAACGATTTTTCAAATTCCAGGTGAATATTCAGCCATGAAAATATAGAGAATGACTTCGATATAAGGAAGAATAATGACTTAGGATTATCGAAAATTTCAATTATGCAGTTAGACCTATAACGAGATGGCGTTAATAAGAATGCCAATAACTACAACAAAAACTGTTTTGTCCAGTTAAACTAAACTAAGCTTCCTTTCCATTAGAAAGAACTTATTTTCTATGCAATACTTCTTACATTGAAAACAAAACGGTAGCTTCTTCGCAAAACGGTTTCTTTTCCAGCCGCAAAGGTTGCATGACCAATAGGAAACCGCGGAATCTCTTTACAAAGATTTCCCGCCTAAAACGACGGACAAGCATGCACGATAAGCAACTTGTTCATTTAAACTTCTGTAACCTAGAAATCATTTAACTAGTTGTGCTACAGCCAAAGCTCTGCACATCTTGCACTTAATGAGCTGATAGTTGTTGAAATTGATTTTCTTGTCTTCAAAATGTATTTACTGATTGCAGTGTTGCTGAACACTTATCCTGTCTTTTGATTCTCTTCCAGCTCTTATGATCCTTGAGTCTGTCAACCTTATGGGACATATACGTATCAAGTCTAAACAAGAAAACACCTACATTTGTGTGAGCAGCGCTGGTCGACTTGTATTAGAGGTTAGTTAGGTCAAACCTTGGGAAAAAATGGCGCCAATCCCGGTTCACGGTCGGTTAACGCAATTCAGGAATGATTCCAAAATTACAATTACAAAAGAAAGCATCTAATATAATTCATATTATGCAAGCTAGTTCGTAATCATAGTAAACACTCGATCGATGAGTTAAGTAAGAAAAAGCATTTTTGGTTTTCAAATCACAACACCAGCGAAAATTTTACAGCCCTCCCGCTTTTCAAGGATCGTTATAATTAACACCTACGCGCGAAAACATGTTAAAAATATTAACTTAATGTGGTGTCTTTTGTTCTATTCGTAGCCTAAAGGCAACAATATTCCAAGATGTGTGTTTGTGGAAGACTATTATAAGGGCTTTACAATGTTCCAGTCAGTCTACAGAAAAGAATGGTATCTTGGAGTCAAGAAATCTGGTCGCATGAGACAACCTCGGATGACAAACCGAACGCAGACTGCATCATTATTTTTAGTTGAGCACATATCTCTCACGTGATAATGAACTCACTATTAGGATAGATATTTTTATTGGAGTTTTTACAAATGTTATTTAATCGTATTTAATTGATGATGACAAAGTTGAAAAACTGCAAAGGATTATGGGTAAGCGATGATCGAATTGTTAACACTTCGATGCATCAAGATGAAATTTCTCATCAGAGATTATTTCATTTATTATTTAATATCATTATTTATTCTCAACAATAATGTAGAATATCTCAAGAAATAACTTATTTTATTTATATGTGGAATTCGTGAGGTGACCGATGATGTTTCAAATTGACAAGTTACTCAGAATATATGCACCTCACTTGCTTAAACGCAACGAACAGAATACTTGTTATTGTTCGAGTTTTGAAAATTTCAAAATTTGTTCGACAATTGGAATTTTTGGGCGTTCGCGTAAAATAACTAGATACAAAGGTAGTTCATTAGGTTGGATTTATATCCCTCAATACGATGTATTGTATAGTATTTCAAATTGATGCTAATAGCTTCATTATAATTAGAAAATCCTATTTGTCGTAGATTGAAAATTATTTAGAAATGTTGAGCAAAACCACCAATGTCCGTCACACCCACCCAAGTCCGTCACACCCACCCAAGTCCGTCACACCCACCCAAGTGAACCGACACACCCTGCAAACTGAAAACCACACACACACGTACACATACTTTATATAGCAAAAAAAGAAATGGAAAAGAAATGCTATTAAATGGTTGCCGAATTTAAGCGTTGTGATTGGATGATTAAGAATTTCTCAGTTTTTTTAATTGGTTGAAAGCGGAAAAAATTTTGAGAGTCATTTTAACCGGTATGTGTTTCCCACTCGTACGAGAAACTGCTTTCGAGAAGAAAGATTTGGTGTTTTTGTCTTGAAAAAAGGAAATAATAAAACCCCGAATTATCATCAACTTGTAGGAGACGAAGGATTCTTTATTGGTTAGTCTAAAGCTTTCTTTAAACAAAGACGTTTAGTTTGAAAGAATAAAGACTTACTGTTAAATGTTGAAAAGCAGTTTCGACCAAAATGTAAAGAAATTGAAAAATATTTATTCAAAATACGCGACGACTTTTTACGAGTGGATGTGCGTAGTGAACTTTTCAAAATCTTACTTTCTTCCTAAAAAATACTGTTGCTAAAAATAGAATGCGGTATATATATTTATGAATATGTTATCTGTGTATTAACTGGAAAACGGTATTTTAAAGAACCTTGTAAAAGTGTTTTTGTGAGCAAATGTAAAGTCTATATTCTAATAAAATATTTTCATCTTAAAATCATATGTGGAGTATTAAAACTAACTACATGATAAATGTAAGATTGATTGATTGATTGATTGATTGATTGATTTATGTTTATTTATATTTATTCATTTATTTATTTGTTATTTTTGAGAAAGTTTATATTTGTTCCAATTCTGAGCTATGGCTTCGAAATTAAACAGGGGTACATTTGGATCTGCAAGTCAGAAAATGGCACGAAATCCTGAAAGTAAGTAATATTATAATATATTGAGTAAAATTTAAGCCGTAAAAATGTACTTTTAAATAAAGAAAGCATGAGGAAAAAGTGGAGATGCGGGGTATCGAACCCCGGGCCTTCCGCATGCAAAGCGGACGCTCTACCACTGAGCTACATCCCCTCAAGCATGTGAAATTAAGAAAAGATAACAATTTAAATCTCATTTGTCTATGAGCTAGACCCAATCCTGCTCGGTTTCTCATTCGAGAATTGGTTGCCTAATTTTGCACGAGCGTGAACTACTTCAAATTCTACTTTAAAAACGGTTTGAATTCGCTATAAAGATTCTCTGTCAACGACAACCCACAATTTGAGACACAAGCAGGTTATTTGTCAACTTAAATCGGTGTTCATATCGACGTCCCTTCAAAATGGCGGGCTTTTTAAGTGTGACCTGTAGTATACATCCTCCTCGTGGATCAAGAGTGAACCGTCTCTCAGGTGAGTGAAATTTCTCTGTAATATTTTGTATTCTGAAAGCAAGACAGAACTTGGAAATTCCAACATTAAGATATATTGATAGTTATGGTAGATTTTTCAAAAGCAAACATAACTTTGGATATAGTGCATTCAGATAGTACTTTTGGTTCAAGGATGTGAATAGATTTTTTTTTATAACCAAAGATTAATTCTAGAAAGCCTTTCTCCCATCCGTATAAACTATAATAGTTTTGACAGCTTAACATGTTAGCTATGGCAGAAGTCCTCTGCAGTATATAATACGTTAAGATGTATGTGGATGTTATATGAGAACCGCTTTAGTAAGGGTGTTTTGACCTCCCCTAGCTTGAAATATCTTGCACCCGGACAGCTCTGTGAGGTCCTATTTATACAGAGTCTCAGGGTCCAGAGACAGCCCTCCCCCACGAAACAACTTTACAAGGTTTTTACTGAAGTATTCTCCAGTAAAAAAACTTAGGTCTTGACACAGAAAGCCCAATTGGTAGTTTTCTCTAGGTTGGGTTACAAATTAACATGCAAGCACATTTTAGTGTTTGATCTGCATGTCTCGCCCTGAGTACACTAGTTAAGTGTTATTTATATAAGGAAAAGTTGTCTCACCTAGTTTCACCTCCCAGGTTACCCTACCAGCCGATACAAGAAGTATCACCCACCGAGTTGTCCCACTTAACCAAGACAAGTTAAAAATTATTCTTATGTAAATGGTGGATGGAGTTTTCCAAAGACATGCATGATAAATTAGCCCACCCAGTGTAACTCGGGGAAGAGGGCAGTCAGACTCAGATAGGGCCTTAGTTTTAGGGACCACAACAGCAATGTGCTATAAATATGCGTCTTACCACCAAGGGTATGAACGATCCTACACCCTTGAAGGTACGTGTCAATTGTTGATCAGGCATTACTTTTTAGGAAGGAAGAATACACTTCACTTAAATATTTGGGACCATATACTTTATTAAATTCTCAAACTGGGTTTCCTGTGTCTAGCTATTTATTTTTGGTCTGTCTGTCTGTCTGAAAAAATGAATAACAAAGTCTGTCTGTTCTGTTTGTAAACAATGAAAAACAAATAGTAAACTTTAAAGTCACACAAACCACCTATCCATTTAAACAGATGCATCGATCTTTTTTCTCCATCTGTTACCAGCAGAAAAAGAAATAATACTCAATAGATTTGACAATGCCATAAAATGAGAAAACACTGGAGTGAAAAACGATTCTACAGGCTATGTTAACTATTAAGACAAGCCGTAAGGATCCAATAACCTTTGCAACTTTGGTTTTTCATTGTATAAGAGTTAAAAGGCTCAAATTTGGGGTAGTCAATTTTTGTTTTGTTTTTGCTATTGAAATTTGCTAATTTAATAGCCATATTCGAAACTGAAAATAATATTTTGGTAGTTACCTTTTTGTAATATTACATATTTGTTGTTTTGTGTAAAACCATATCTGTAAGACTGTATGCCTAATAAAAAACCTATCACTTCATTCTATAAAGAAAAAAATAATAATTTGAGTCCTGGTTAACAATTTATATCCGTAAATTAAACATATGTGGTTTGGTTAATTGACCCAGGTGCGTAAATTCACTTCAAAATCATTTTACATTTTTTTCTAGAAATTTGTATTTTTTAAACAATTTGTTCCTTTATTTTTAAATAATTTTTATAGAGAATTCTGCTTTTTTTCATTTTGTGCTTCAGATAATGAAATTAGGTCAAAAATTATTCTAATTAAAGTCCCTAATTAATTTATTACTAACATTATTTTGCACCTAATTATGTTTTAAAAGCCTTCGTTTTGTCAAAAATAATATCTAAAACATTAAAGATGAAAGATATGATTCTATCAAAGTCGTTTAAACTTTAATAAAGGTAGAAAAAAATGTAGCTCGTAAAACTTTATTGACAAAACTTCATCGAAGACTCACATAAAAGTAGGGAGGGAGCGTTGCGTGTCGACCGACACTAAAAACGGATGCGAGGGAGACTAGTTCGTTCTAGGATTAGAATTCGGTGAGGTCAAAGAGGGTTGCGTCGTTGGCTGAAAAAAATGATTGACTTAACGACATTTTGACCCAGTATTATCGATCAAGAACTCATCATATATATACCCAACATTGAGAATCACTCACTGACGTAATCACTGCGCGCTTACCACTTGCTTCTCCCTACTTGGTAATTTCGGGATATTTTTAATGCATCAACCTGAGGCGTCATGGCTTGAGGAAGATAGTACGGTCGTATTTTCATTTTAGGTTTGCGATGGAAAAATCGCTGTTGTCTCCGTTTGCGCTTTTGTGACACACCGAAGGATTTCGTTGACTTTTTTCCTGGAAGGATTCTTCGATTCGGAATCTTTGCCAAAATGCGGAGGGCTTTAATGATTAACCCTAGATTCCGCAAGCGTCGGAAGGAGCCTCGGAGAGATAAGGTATGTTGAACTACTTTTTTCGAGGCGCATTTTAAACGAAACGAAAATTGCTTTGATAAAAAGAAGTGAAATCATTCTATTTCACTTCCTTCTGTTTTTTTCCTGTGCTAACTATCGAGGTATTGGGCGAACCAATGATGTCTTTTAAAGTAGATTAGAGAAGTCAAGCGTTGTTTATTTACTTAGACTCTGGTCCGCACGCGTTTTACAAGGCACCTAGATTTTTAAAATTTCTTCCCTTTAAACGAATATTTTTTATTGCAAAGAACCAAATATTTCCAACAACAGGAAAAAGGCTAAAAAAAAAACACAGTCAAGATTGTTTCTATTTCTTTTTATCTGTAGCCTTGTCATTGAATCCTTTTAAAGGAAGTTCACTTTTAGTTTTTTTCTTTTTTTTAAAAAGAATTTTTTTAATCATCCAGCTGAAATGCCCAGAAAATTGAAGGTGCAGCTTTAGGATGTTTTCGATGAGTTAACAAGTGAATTGCACTTTCTTTTGAAGTTATACGAAATTGCGCGCGTTTGTTGAAGAGTTTGATAATGCGATAGACTTCGTAAAGCTTTTCTAAGCAGAGAACCAGTCCTTAGTACTCAGTAATATGCTAAGTGAGCGGGAAAAATAGATAAATGAACGATTGTCGGGAATTTTTTCTTAGTCTAAGATACTGAATCACATCTTTCTTTTTCTACTCAGTCCGGCAAAGTAAAAAAACCTTTAAATTCTCGAATTTATTTTAGAGTTTTTTWAAGAAATTCATCATGAATTTCTGCACAGTGTTGGGAATAAAAGTTGATTCGTGTATTTTGAATATTTTACTTTGTCAGTTTAATAATTTAAAGCGTCTTTAAATTAAAATAATCTATCTGAACAATTAATGCGTCTTTTCTAAAGCCAACAGATCATAAATCAGACTTGACGATATAAGGCTAATGAGTTTTCTTGAATACATTGATGAGCTGTTTTACAAACCTTGAATCCTTCACAAAATTAATAAATTTGAAGATACGAAAGCACGCTTGAGAGGGCAGAAGCGAGTGAAGAGTGGTAAAAACGGGAAGTCGGTAGCCAAACCACAAATCGAACTTCCTCTTTTGGTTTGATAAATTACTCTTGGTTGGTGTTTAATACTTGACGTTAAGATACAGTGCAATGAAAAGGTCCTTTGTCAAGGACTTTGAAAGAATCCATCGTCCACCGCAGTCGATTTAAGCTCAGACCTCAAATCCAGTGAAAATCTGTGCTCTGGGGAATTCTTCGCTTTCTCGCGTGAAAAAGAAAATCTACCGTCTTTTTTACACCACCAACTGCGAAATGTCAGTATCGAGGCGGTTCCTTTTAAAGATTTATAAGTCGTGTGAGATCTTTGTGAATTGACTCTAATAAGATAAATTAGGTGATAGATCAGATAGATTCTGGTCATTTAGCTGAAGTTTGAAGCCCAAGACTTTGGGAGTCCCACACATTTTTCCATTCAACCAACTGTGAAATGAGCTATTAAACGTTTTCTTTTCTTGTAAAATTTGCCATAGCTTATAACAGAAATACAGAAATTTATAAGCCATTCCGAGGTTTAAGAAAAAATTGGGTCGAGTTGGTAAGGCATTGCATTGTGGGACTGTTTCAGGGGACGAAATAGACGCCATATTGCTTACTATCAATCACGTGACTTTTTGGAGTTGGTTTTGATGTAAGTCAAAACATGTCAAATAAGTCCTCAAACTATTGTATTTGACTATTTCTACGACATGAAACCAGAAAACAAGAGATCAAAACAACCTTCAAGATTCTACAAGCCATTCAAAACGCAGCTATTACCGGAAGTGACGTCTATTGATAGCAACTTATTGGAAATATGAATTAAATGGTTATTATGACTGAATTAAGTGGTAATATTCGGCTATGTTGCTAAGCAACATGTATCTATAGTTACAGTGATACAAGCAGTATGAAAGTAGATTTAAGAAGCTGATAAACATTTGACATAACAATAACATCCTATAAATAGTTATCACGAAGAGTGTAGCATGTACCTTTAAGGGCTATCTGCGTGAAATGGTGTTTTCACGAAAATAATATTAGCCAGTACTTAGTAACCTAGGTATAAAGGCTGAAAGAATGGATGGATGGCGAGAGAGAGGTGGAAAGATAGATAGATAGGTGGATAGCTTTTAAGGGCTATTTGTGGAATGGTGTATTTTCCGTAAAAAGAAGATTAGCCAGTGCGTACTGATCTAGTTATAATGGTCGGGCAGAATGAATGGATAGTTGAATGGATGAAATGATGGGTGGATGGATGAGTGGTTGGGTGGATGAGTGGGTGGATGAGTGGGTGGGCGGAATGGAGGGATGGAGGAATAAAGGGCTGGTTGTATGGATGTCATGGATGGGCGGATGGATGGATGAATAGAGTAGAAATGAAAAATCACGCGAAAATATTTGATCATTCATTATGATAATACATTATTGAATTCCGTAAATAAGTAAAATAAGTAAAAGCATGCAGGATTACTAAGTAAATGAACTAAAATGAATGAATGGGAAT